AAATCTGAAATACTTAACAAAATGTCGGAGCTTTGTCTTTACATCCAAAGTCCGCAAAACTAGGTAAAGGAATTTTATTAGCCATTAGTAAATGGTTAAATTCTATTAAAGACAGAAAACAGCATTTTTAGATTCTAGAAATTTTAGTACCATTTAAAATGAGCCACGGCCAAGGACCAGAAGGAACCATGCATTTATTAAACGAAGATATTTGAACCTCGCAGAATGCATTTAACTTTGTTAAGAAGTTAAGAAGAATCAGATCGTAAAAAAAAAAAAAAAAAAAAATCGTTTTTACTGGTATAATATTAAACACCTATCCCCCTACAACATCAAAAAAGAGCTAAAGCACCGTGCGTGACTACCGCATTAAGAACGATGTAGGCTAACGCGCCCTAACACACGCAGAAACAATCCTCACGGCCCTACAATCGTGCTCACGTTTCATACACGCAAAGGACAACCGCAGAATCCCCAGCACACCGGCTCCCTCGCTACCTTTCATCTACAGACGATCACGCAAACCGCTCCCCGACGTTAGAAGAAACCATATTCGCATTTTAATTCAATCCGTGTTCTGTGCGAAATTAGCGGACGAGGCGGAGCTTTTTAGGGAGGTCATTTGTATAAGTAGTGGTGATAAATATGGTAGTAGTGATGGTAATGATGATGATGATGATAATGATGTTTATGATGATAAAGACAATATTAGTAATGGTAATAATGATAACAATAGCAAAAGTAATGATATTAATAATAATAATAATAATTATAGTAATGATAAGGATGACGATGACGATGATAATGATAGTAATAAGGGTAATTATGATAATAATAATGATAATAATAATAATAATGATGATGATGATGATGATGATGATGTGATGATGATGATGATGATGATGATGATGATGATGATGATGATGATGATGATGATGATGATGATGATGATGATGATGATGATGATGATGGTGATGATGGTGATGATGATAACAATAATAATCATAAAAATAATAGTAATGATAATGCTAATAATAATGATAATAATAATTATGTTAACAATGATGATAATTATGATAATAGTCAAACAATAGTGATGATAACAATAATAAATAAATAATAATAATTATATTTATGACAATAAAAACAATAGTGCTGAAATAATAATAACAGTAAAAATGATAAGGATGATAATAATAACGACAATGATAGCGACTATGAGGAAAAGGATAATTATGATAATAATGAATGATTATGATTATAACAATATTGAAGATAGTATTCATAATAAAGCTAATAACAACAACAATAACAAAACACCATTATCAATAATAATATTATGATACGTTTAGTCTTCGCTCAAACGATTTGATAAAAACTCTCGTACCCAATGACCACTGTTAAAACAATCGGTTACTTTTATCCCAACGGAACAGCTGTGCAAAAAGTCTAACGGACAGAGATTCACCGGGAGATATCGCGTACTGTTTCATTTTGATATCTGATTATGGTCTGCAAGATGTAATTGAATACGTAGGGGCTAGAATTGAAATGAATCTTAAAGGATAACAAAGGTTTGTATTTTTATTTTTCATTTTTTTTATCTTTTATATTTTTCTTTTCATTTTTTTCCTTCTTTTTTCTTTCTTTTTTCAAGCACAAGTAATGAATTCTTTAAAAGGCGCTAGTTCAGACATTTTCATTAGAGCGGTGTTATTGTTTCAAAAGGAAATAGACAGATAGTCAAATAGACAAATGAATAGATAAATGGAATGAATTGAAGAGATAATGATGAGCGATATTAAGATATTGATGTATTACGGAATAAATCGAAACCTATTGAATTTGAGAAAAGAAAAAGTGAAGAAGAAAAATAAAAACAGATTGTGTTTTACAGATATACAGATGTTTTATTCTCTCTTTCTCTCTGTCTCTTTCCTTCTTTCTTTCTTTTTTATAATCTTCAAGGACCGTACGCAGAACAATGGATAAGTTGCAGAGGTTTGGACTGGGAAATCTCTCCTGAAGATGGGGAGTCTTGCAGGGGAGGGGGGGGGGGGGGATGCGTAATATTTGCTCACTCCTTTTTCTCCTCTCTCTCTCTCTCTCTCTCTCTCTCTCTCTCTCTCTCTCTCTCTCTCTCTCTCTCTCTCTCTCTCTTTCTGTCTTACGTGCTCTTGCATACATACATACATACATGCATACATACATACATACATACATATATAAATATATATATATATATATATATATATATATATATATATATATATATATATATATATATATATATTCTATAGTGCACAGTTCAAATCCCGGAGAAAGCATTGGGAAACGTAGCTCGGCCGACCTCCACAGGCACAACCCCCGCCCGAGCCTGGAGCTTGTGCATTACAGGAGGACCCGATCGAATGGCCTGAGCGTTGCCCCTTAAGAAAAAAAAAAGGGAAAAAAAATAAGAAAAAAAAAGAAAAGAAAAATAAAAGTTTACGCCATCACA